GTAGCCGGATGAGCAATGCTGAGGTTAGGCGCAGAGTTTTAGGCAAATGCGGTCGCCCACCGGAGCAAGTGATTGACCTCCATAGATTACGTTGATTGGGGCATGTGTTACGCATGTCACCAGATAGGTTGCCACGGCGAGCGGTGTTCTCCGAGGCAGTTAGCGGGTGGAAGAAAGTCAAAGGTGGCCAAGCTAAGACCTGGCATGCGGGTATGAAAACCCTAACCAGGAGTCTGGGTTCCGTTAGGCTCCCTGGATGGGGACCTTGGGATGATTATACCCGATGGTTAAAGACAATGAGTGACATGGTTGGGTGTCGTAAACAGTGACGTTCGTGAATCTTGTCAATTCATCTGCAAAATTAATGCAATGAAATTTTTAAATTTTCTCTTTGATCCTACTTTCAACCTTTCTATCTTTATCCGCATGTTCACCAAATGGGCAGCCAAACGACAGCAACCAAAACCGGCGCATGATGGTGCATGGTTAATGATTGTACAAACTGAACTGAACTGAACTGAGCTGGATACACATGCTGATCTGCTCGTGATTCCGTAACCGGGATTTGCCGTAAGAATCCGCTGGAAAAAAAAACGGCATCGTCATGCCAAACCCTCCCCATAAAAATTTGAGCATTTTTAGACACTCCTGCTTCTAAAATGGATGTTTAGGACTGTGCAGACAAGATCGGATTGGAGGATGGAGTACATCGGAAAATTTCATAAAAGCTGTAATGATGGAGCTGAGTTAACGGTCCAAACACCGCAGGGAATGGATTTTGGAAAGCAGACCTCAGCTCTTCATTAGGGAGAGACGTGCGGATTTGCCCATCACACGAAATCAACTTCCTAAACCTGCGGTATGGCGCCGTTCGCTCCACTAGAAGAAACTGAAGTCAGTAAAGGAAAAATACAGCATGTCAGTTAGAAAACACCACTGACGTCGATGATTTTAGGAAACCCTTTTGATTCATCCGGGTCAGTGCAGGTGAAACAAAACTCACGGAATTTTCACCTGACGTAAGGTCAACTTGTCAACAAATTTGTAGGAAAACAATCGATGAACAGCTCAATCAGGCAACCTTACTGACTCTGATATCAGCGAGCCATGCTAAATCAACTGTCAAATCAAGTCAAGAAGCGACTTTAATTCATCCCATAGGAGATGAACATTCAGCTACTACACAATCACTCTGTTGAAATGGCATGGTAAAAAAAGGATGATGATACGTTACACATACAAACAAATAAGATTTCGTTCAAGGGTCCCGTTAGTAGGAAACCGTGCCAAGCACGATATTACAGAAGACTTGTATGCTGTGGTGCGTGCTGCTGTATGCTTATACTTGGAGCGAGTGCTAGATGTGGAGATACACTGACTAAGGTGAGGGTACAAGGGGTGAGATGAGTCAAGTAGTATTCTGGTTGAGTTTTTGTCAAGCCCTAAAGTGCTGTGAAATAATAAACTGCACATGCTCACGAGATATGCCGCTGTACCAACCTACTTGTTTGATGGCTGTACGTATGAGTTTGAAGTCTCTGATTCAAAGACCCGGAAAAATTATTGTGGTGGCCCAGTGGTAACGTTATCAAATTATTAACCCGGGCGACGTGTTTTGGAATCCCACCACCACCTGGTCTTCCCTATTGTGTGCCGTATGGCAGGCCTTTGATTAGCCGCTTCACCCTTCCTGAAAACTGTATCATCGTGCATTCAACAAAAGAGTGAAAATGAAAAAAGAACTCGAAAGAGTTCTCATAAAGCAGATTTTCAATTTTAGGATTCTCGAAGATCACTATGATTCGCTTGCTTACAACAATTTGACGGATATAAACATTTTGAAAGCTGATACAGGCTACTTTGTAAATGGGATCTGGTTTCTCACTAATACCTAGTTTTTTTCGATTTTCGGAAAGTGCACACCGAATTCTAGTTTCTGACCTGTGCGTTACCTCGATTTCATTTGATGTCATACACAATGCCACTTCTCATACTTTGATGTATAATCGTAATCTGTCGAAATCTGTCTTTCGAATATTCACTCAACACTGGAGCAATATACTATTCAAACAAATATTGGGTGGAATCCAAATAAAAAGTGAAGTCTCAGTTTCACCGCCTGACAGAATACCTTTAAGCTACCAACCAGTTGAAAAAATACCATTGATTCCAGAAGCGTGATAAAAACGCCTCACATGTATTATCACCGCCCCAAGTTCACGTGTCAGAAAATGCAGCTGGTGACCATTGTATACGCAAGACGAGCTTTTTGTTCTATGATAGTTATTAAATTGAATGCTGGCATGCTCAATGGACGATGAGGTTTTGAATTCCATGATCCTTTCAACAATATACCGTCCACAACACTATTCACCAGTGAGTCTTGAAGGGTGACAATAAAAAGCTATGATTCGAACAGTAGAACGAAGGGAAAAATAAGCTCACCAAAAATAAGGATATCTGAAAAATAGTCCACTTTTTTACCATTTACTTGACTAGTTGACATGAGCAGTACCATCGCAGCAATCCAGAGGAATAGAAGATACATTCTCACTCTTTTGTGATGCACATGTGCGCTAGCGGTTTATTAACGAATGTTTTCAGGGAAACCAACTGCCAAGCAGGATCGAGTCGACGATGATGAAAGAGCAACAGGTTACATTTAATGGTTATGTACTAGCAAATAACCAAAAATGTATCAAATACAAGAATCTTATTAAAGCAATATTTATTGGAATTTGATGCGGTTATGCATTCTAATTTGTTTTACAAGGATGGTTAAAAATACTTCAACTTAGTAGTTTAACATTTTTGGTACGGCTAAATCTGGTGACCAGGATTTCTATACTATTCATAATATACGAAGAGTATGTCTACCGTTTGCTCTTAAACATTCATCACCACAAAGGCATGCTTGAATTGCACGTTTGAAAGCTAAAAGTAGGACAAATCTATTTAACATCAAACCGATTATGTCGATTTGAATTCCTCCAGAAATGCATGTGATTAAGCGAAGACAAAAAGGTAGGCGTCAAATAAACTTACAAAGTCTCATCATTTCGGTAGTGAATAACTGCACGTTCCACCGCGGCCTTCGGCTCCAGTGTAGGTTGAAGATCGAAGAATTTAACAAAAACGGAAGCCATACAATTACGTTTTAACATAGCACATTTCCGTGCCAAAGGAGCGTAGTCATCTTCCAATTTATCCAGATCGATGTTTAACGTGACACTTTGACCGGCCTTAGGTTCATCGGCCAATAAGTCTCCATAAACTTTTCTCAGATACTGTTCAAGGTGTGAGTAAGATACGACATTGTTGGGGATTAAGGCATGAACTGGTAGTCCTACGTAAGTGAAAGGCACTCTAAAATTAGTGTATCCTAGACAACCACTGGAAGAAACATTAACTCACTTTTGTGGTACAGAGGGGCTACAGCAACAATATATCGGTATCGCTCTTATCATGGGCGGTTTAACGCAGTACAACAACGTTCATATCCTGGTGTCGCACAAGTGTAAAACTAAGATTCCATGAAATGAAGGAGTTCTAAATAGCGGCAGTAATGTGTTGGCCTAAATTCTGCGGGAAGAGAGCTTTTCGATGATCACCCGGGTAAATACTTAACTAAAAATCCACCGGGGGCTGACTGAAGACGATTTCTGCATATTCCAATACACCAGACTCCCAAATTCAATATGTCATTTTACAGTGTATCACAATTATTTATTCATTTGCCGGTAGAAAGAAATAAGGAGACAAAGCATTTTCAGACATAGTAGGAAGTTCCTGTTTCCAATTTCTTAGTGTTGCGAGCTGTTGCACCGCTATAGGATTGGATTGATCACATTGTAAGTATTGTGATTTGCAGAGTAACGAGATTTGTGTACACAACACTGATAGATGGATAGTAAATTCAACAGTCACGAGGAAATCCTGAGCACTAATAAAAACTGTCAACGTAAGCCGAATCTGGAATTAGTGAACCACTTATGGCCCAACTAGGATATATATGGTAGCGATCCTGACGACAATGTGGTTGGGTTGTGACGGGGCACAAATAACACCAGTACTAGAGACCAGAACAGCTCGCAAATAAAAATCACATATAGTTACAAAAACTTTAAAGGACGTATGACAACGTATAAATAGAGCCTTACTGGCCTCTGATGACCTAAGTCAACACCTGCAAAGATTTTTCAGATGCAGATAGGACGGTTTTGAAAATTGCTATTATCGCAGCAATCTACATATTCATATCAATCTACTTAGATGATTAAGCACATGTGTTACTGCAAAAATGGCAATTTCCAAACTGCATATTCACGTACGTGTTGATGTAACCGAACGAGTATTGCTGAGTACTTGGCTATCGAGACTGAGTTCCAGCATAAAACTGAGTTCTATGTTTCACTTTCAGTTTTCACAACCATTAACCATGTACCTTTGGTTGGAGTTGATCTGGATATTTTTCACGCATACCTCCTAAAGGAATTCAGGGAAAATTTGCGCTGACAGAGTTGGGAATAAGTTGAAAGAAGCACCGGGTACACAGCCCGTTGCGTGGTAGAAAAGTGAGAGGACGTCTACTAGAAATTGGACTGAGTAGATTTTGTGAACCTACCGATTAGAGCTTACGGGGCAAGCCCAATCAGCAGTTGGGTACACTAAGCGGCATGAATAAGCGCAGTATACAGCAACATTATTAAGGTCATTTACATTGTCAATCCAATAGAAGTGCTTTCAGGCATAAAAAACTGGCTTTGGCATGATTACTCGTCGCTCTTCGTTTCTATACAGTAGAATATGGAATTTTGGTAGTAACAAGCCGCAGTCAACCACCACCGAATGAGCTCGACCTGTGTGCCATGTAGGGTTTCGGAGAATCTGGTAAATAACCGCACTGTTCTTCACCTTGATTCTCATAAACCTCTTTCTAGCAGACACTGACCTTCTCAAGGGTACATCTAGTCTATCAAACCTTATTTAGCACGCAAACATAGATCAGAATAAAAAGCCGTTGGATAATGTGAACTTTAGAAAGGCACTAGATAGTCTCATGCAAAAATGTTGGTAAAACTGAGTACCCTGGGTATCGAACCCCTACGGCTTCCTTTGATCGCAACCTTTCTGGAGGACTTTTGTTGGTTTCACAAACATTAACTCCCCGGCTGCTAGCTTCCAGCGAAATTCCTCTGGTACTAAGGCCAATAACGTGCGTTGTGTCAATTAACGATCAATGGGGTAACGTGTTGATTTCCAGTGCTATCTATATGCTGACGACCTTGTGGATTGGGGAGAGCGATTTACTCAGATCACGATGCGGTGGTACTACAGGAAGATAAATACTTTGCTGAAATGGGTCCCAAATCTGTAAAGAAATCTTACCACGGAAAAGGGGGCAATTATTAGACGATCGTACAGTACTGCACTTGGTCAGTGCAACTACACCCACTTCTGATGGGCACCTGAAGGTACCGATCCCGTGGAAATTCAGCACACTGGAATTACCTAACGACTACATGGCAGCTAAAAGGCTCTTATATTTGAAGAGACACTTTCTCAGAGATCCCAAATTATTATATATATAAGGATTCTTCAACACCACTTGGACAGCGGCCACTTTGAGTTTAGTGGTACGCCCGCCAAAAAGGATACCTTTTGTTATTATCTACTTCATCATCCTGTACTGAACCCATCAAAACCAGGCAAGGTTCGAACTGCAATCGGAACAGGAAGCTGACAAAGAATCATGCGTCCCGAGTCGAGTGACCTTCAGTCAAGACGTAGCTTGGTCGTGGAGACGTTGTCAGTGTATATGCTAGGGAAGCCATGGCTTTGGGGCATCTTTTGGGTGACAATCCTGTATACGAATTAGTCGGGCGGTGCTTTATTGTGAGATTGAAACTACGTACACCGGACTTACCTGTAATCTGCTCAAAACCCAACAANTTCATGTGCGATCCTAACCAACTCCCAGTTTATTGACCTTTGCCCACAGTCATCATCATCCTACAGCGAAATACAGTGAACTGAACGGCACTGATTGCTGCCAAACTCGCAATACGTATCATTTTTATTTTGTGTATGCATTGGGTTTGATGGACGGGTACTGCTAGGATGTCCAGCCACTAAGCAGGAGAACGATTAGGGTTCTCAACCAAAGCCCTTAGTTCTGAAAAGAACCTAACCGCAGGACAGCGGGTGAAGCGGAGTGGGGCTCATTTACTTGGATCGATTACTTCTCCACCATTTTTAACAATTGAAACGCAAATTCCAGTTGAACCCCCAATCTGGAGGGCCAGGAGAATGGACTTCGTCCGACCTCGACCCTTCGACCTTCCAGGCATGATTAGATCTCTGGCTCGACAAAAGCCATCCTGTGTAGCACGTTGGATTAGGGAGGTGCACAAACCATCACATCACGTCGAGGTGCAGTCTCATCGTGATGGTTGTGCGTTTTACCCGACCAGACACGGTGTATTTTGGCTGGGCTAGTTTCTGCTACTGCTGGCACCACCGTTTTCTATAGCTCGGGTTTGTACAGCCTTAACAGGTAAAATGATCCCAGTGGTGAACTACGTTACACAAATAAAGCTTTTTCCACTACCATAACTGAACTGATCGGAATGTAATTCCTTAGTGTGAGATTCTTTAGGATAACCTCTATAATTACCAAGTTAAGGTGGGCTAAGGACGGTGGCACTTGTACACGCTGCTTAACGGGCTCTAGCCTGCACCTCCTGAAGGATGTTCCAGTAGCCTTATCTTTATCCACGTTCGGGGTTCGTCGCGAACGAACTTGAATCGTCCTTTTGCGACTCTTCACACCATTGTCGCTCGTGATAGAAACAAAGCTCTGCTTTGTGGCCTATCCTATCCTATCCTACCCTATCGAGATGATCGTGCCCGATGGTTAGAGACAGTGAGTATTATGGCTGTGCGGTAAACAGTGGTGTTCATACATCTTGTCAAGTTCTTTTTAACTTTAGTCCACTGAAATTCTAAGTTTTCTCTTTGATTCTACTTTCAACCTTTCCTGTCTTTCTCCTAATGTTCATCCAAATGGGCAGCCAAAAGCAGTAACCAAAACCGGCGCACGATAGTGCATGGTTAATGGTTGTACAAAATGAACTGAACTGAACTGTGGCCTATCCAATTCAAGTAGGACGGGTCTAGGTGGGCCCTGTGATGTCCTAGACTTTATGGTTTCCACCTTCCAACTCGGTGCACTCTCTCTATTACTACATTAGATGGGACACCAGCTAATCTAGCTATGTTGCAGCTCTACGCATATCCATGTGACTCCTAGTTTTTGGTTTTCGTATGATCGGCTCCTAATTGCTAAGTACGTACAGGATTCAACGTTGTTCCGGTGAGGGAATTTTCACTGGTAGGAGGATTCTAACTTACTTTTTGAGCTCCTGCAATTCCTAAACCAATACATTTTTATTCGTAATCTCCTATTCTGACAGCCATATCTTTTCCCTATACTCTACCCCAACCTCCCCTGCCCCTCGTTATTGTTATTGGTAATATTGCTATGGCGTTGGCACCAAGCTTGTTCTCAAGCCGGTGTTAAATATATATATATATATATATATACCTCTTTATACCCGTGTGTGCTAACGTCTTTNACGGTGGAGTACTCCATACACGACGACCCTCGACGATCAGCGATATGTGAAAGAAATTTCGTGGCTTCCACCCTAAAGACCAGTAACCACGTCTTTCCCTATACTACGTATCCCAACCCCCGTCCCGCATTATTCTTACTGCTAACATTTTTGTGGTGTTGGCACCATGCTTCTTCTCAAGCCGGTGTTAAATATATATATATATATATATATACCTCTTTATACCCGTGTGTGCTAACGTCTTTACTAGTTTAAGTCTTAGAACTTCGGTTGGGCTTGTATATTGACGTCTTGGAGTCCACCCCTATGCGCTGCTTGTTTGGCGCTGAATATTGCTGGAGTCTTCCAGTTTCTAGGCACAGCTGTTTAACAAGTTTTATGCCCTGCAACTCCCTCTCATTGGCCAAAAGGGGCCTATATGTACGTTCTCTTGCCCCTCCCCTCCACGGTCGGTTCTGGCATTTGCTACTCCTATAGTCGTTCTCGGCTGTTTGCTTGTCCTCCCAAGGCCATTCATAGTCTGACCTCACCGAGGCTTTACATTGTGCATATACTCACTCTAGCAGGCTATCCGGGCAGTACGGTCAGCACGGTCACATTTGATCATGCCTGAGCACGTAGCACGCATTCAACTTTTGCATTCAATGCCAGTAAATAATTTATTCGCAGCTAACTTTCAAGCACGGATAAGATACGTGAGAAGTACCACATGATGCGTAAACGCTATATAAATACAAGGCAGTAGTATGCAAAGCAGTTAGAAAACAAAACGCAAAATCGATACATAGAAAAGCCGAGAGTAACAGCTTAAATTAAATATGCGAGGAAATTCGATCGGCCCTTCTCAGTGTTCCTTTGTCACAGAACTGGAAAAAAATAAGGATTAACACTAGGAAGGCTGGATAGTGTACAACCAGCACTTTTATGATCGAAACACCTCAATGTAAACTGAAGCAGGTGGAGTTGGAAAACAAGAAACACATTCAGATAACTGCATTACCTCCAATGCACCATGTTGTTTGAGCTCGTCAAAAAACTTCAGAAAAATACTGACAAGAATCCGCTTCTTATCGGGTCCTGAGTCACAAACGTGATACACAACTCCGTCAAAATCCGGTAAGGTGTAATTCATGCGAACCTTGGCATCTGGTCTGGAAGCAGAAATATTAACGCTTTTGAACGCTTACTCTTCCTTTGCTTTTTCAAATCGGTTCAGTAGTAGTTCCTCAACACTTCGATTGTATACGTCTAGCAAAATCATCTCTGACGCTTTTTCAAGTTGTGTCCAAAACGTGCCCCTACGTTCAGTCAGGATCAGGTCAGTTCA